ATCAGAATCTTGAAAGTCTCGCCCTCGCAGACAGATCCCAAATATATGACAATATTCTTGTGACGCAACTGTGAGTGAAGTTTGATTTCTTCGTGAAGGGGTTGCACTTCACTATAAAACAGTTTATACGGTAATAGTTAAACATTTCAATCATTTAGACTCATTGAGTCAATACAATACCCAATGTTTTTGATTGGAATCTCTTTGACAGCAATAGTGACTTGAGTTCTAAGATCTCTGGCCGCGAATACCACTCCATACGTGCCTTTCCCTAGCCTTATGCGACGGTTTTGCTCATTTAGTTCATATTCAAACTATTAATAAAGTAGTCAAATGTGATATACAATATAATAATTGGGAGCAATTTGATGAGCACCTGAATGGGTCCGGTGTCTGCAATAGAGTCGAGGTCTGTTACGCCCTCTTCGTCGGCTGTCATCTCAATGATGAGATCATAAAATGATTTGCGGAGCTGTTCTGAAGGGAAAAACATCTGAAAGTCGTCACAATTGAGATGCACGTAAAGAAATAGACATCTCTGGTCTGCTTTGTATAAACTGTTCACAAAGTATCAAACAATTGGTTAGCAATACAATCAAATGAGTTGTAGGAATGGTATCAAACCTAACGCCTCTTATTTCGGAGACATTGAAGAGCCAAGAATGGGGTCGTTTGCAGTTGTCTTTGTCTTTCATACAATTGATACAAATATTGTTGATTTGCAAAGACTTTCCGTCGGCGCCGTTCAGATTGACGGTCACGTATGAAGGCATTAGGATTTTGTCCGTTTCCAACACAATCATCGGAAAGCGGATGACATTCGAGACATCACTGATAGCATCGATGAAGTATTCCATCCAAAACTGAAAGATCTCCTCTTCGGGAGTCAAGAGAGCGTCTTCTGGTTTGCGTTTGTAATGATTGATAAGTCGAATGTTGCCGACAGTGGACTTGAGGTACCATTTGGGGGGCTTTAAGTTGAACATACATTCGGCCGCTTGAATGGCTTTCGAGTAGTTTCCGGCCAATACACTGATCTCGAAGAATGTGGCCACATCCCAGTAGTCCTGAATGGACGCCAAACTGCCTTTCCTTCCGATCAGTATATTGAGAACGGAAGCGATGTGTTGGAGTTCAGAGCATTTGGGGAAATCATTGCCTTTAATGACCAAAAGAGTGGCCAAATTGATTCCCGCGTATTCGTTGGGCTGCACTTCAAAGCCCTTTCGGTACCAATTGATAGCGTTATTGAGACTCTCTGTGTCCGTATAGGAAGACTCCACGAATAAGTCTTTGTATATCCTTCCGGCCAAACATATCATATCCGGGAAGTTGTTCTCTTCTTTCTGCAGAGCAGTGGTCACCACTTCCAGCGCTTTCTCTCTGTCGCCGGCATTTTTGCGACGATTCAATGCGAAGGCATACAAGTGGCGAATGGCCGGCGTATACGTGAACGCCGAGTTCGGTATCGACTCCAAGTC